TAGGTCCCAGGATAGGCAGGACAGTCAGAGTATTGGGAGAGAAGGGGTGCTAACTGGAAAGGAGTGACGGTGCACTGGGGATGAGGGGTTGATGAGAAGACATAGGGGAAGGAGAGGATTGATTGAAGATAAAAGCGAATTATTGTATTTGCTGGAGATCTGAAAGCCAGAGATTGCTGGAGAAACTCAACAGGTCTGGTTGCATCTGCAAAATAATGTTTAAAGTTCAGCATGACTCTTCTTCGGAATAAAAGGAATTATCGATTGGTAGAAATGGGAAAACATTAGGAGAGTGCGAGCCACGTTGAACAGCCTTGGAGTTGTAGTGTTCACTGGCAGCTTCTGATATTTTGTTGAATGTTTGTTTGCAATCCCTCCTTTTTGAATGACTAGCTGCAGCAGGTTGTTGGTACACAGGAAGTCACCCCCATTTTCTTAGACATAGCCGGCATCGAACCAGCTACATTCCTGCTCAGTTAATATTGTCCATGGAATTTCAAGCAGTGTCTAAGTCCCTTATTTGCATTGGCAAAGGCACTAGGATGTAATTCAACAGGGAGCACTGGACACTGCTTCTTATAACCTCATTAACAAAGCACATGACATTTGAGAGAGCAGTATGTGTACCCATGCTGCAGCCATGTTTAATATTTTGGTGTCTGGCTTATATCTGTAAAATTAACCATTCCAAACAATTTCCGGTCATCATGTTTTGTCAGCAGCTTCAGAAATCAGACAGCCCCAACTGAGCTAGCGTCTTCTCCAGGTTAGAACACACATTCCAACTGGAATATTCTCCTCTGGTCACTCCATCTAGCAGAATGATTTTTTTTGAATTGTCCCACTGGACGTGGATGTTGCTGGTTGGGCCCAGCATTTATTGCCTAGCCCCTAGTTGCCCCCTTGAGATGGTGGAGGTGAGCGGCCTTCTTCAACCACTGCAGTCCATGTGCTCTAGGTTGACCCACAATGCCGTTAGGGAAGGAATTCCAGGATTTTGACCAAGCGGCAGTGAAGGAACAGCGATATATGAGTGGCTTGGAGGGGAACTTGCAGGGGGTTGGTGTTCCCATGTATCTGCTGCCCTTGTCCTTCTAGATGGAAGTGGTCGTGGGTTTGGAAGGTGGTGGCTGAGGATCTTTGGTGAATTTCTGCAGAGCAACTTGTAGATAGCACACCCTGCTGCTACTGAGTGTTGGTGGTGGAGGGAAAGGATGCTTGTGGATGTGGTGCCAAAGTACAGGCCTAAGCATAGATTTTGATGCCAAAACAATGGAGGCCATATTAATATCTGTTGACTTATCTGCCATCATCCAAGGCAAATACTTTTTAATTACTGAGAATGGAGTGTTAATGTGAGGTGTAAAAGTATCAGCTTTGCATGTACAGTAGCACGTGTTTAGTGTTTCCGTAAATTAGACCCAGTTAATGCATTGTATAAAGTATCTACTGATTATGTCCTGGTAATGAAGTAGTAATCATCCTGAAATGGAACCACCATAATTACTAGTGTAATGATTAGTGTGAATGTTGTTGCATTGCTGTACATTGGGTCTCTGTAGACCATCTTGTGTGTATATTGTCTGAGGCAATGAAGGACACATCTGACCTTGTGTCACTGTCTCTCTCAGTACACAGCATGAAGGTTCAATGTTCACCTGATGTGGTTCCTAAGGCGGGTCATCTCAGCCTGTCACATCCCACAGTGGATGAATTATGATGCATCTCAGACCTGTATCCCACCCCGGCCTTCCCCATCCAGACAGCCTTGTCAGCAGAATGCTAAATCCCTGGGGGGGTGCTTGGACGTGCTTTCTGCAAACCCAGGGTGTGGGGAGAGGGCTTTTCCTTGAGAACCCACATCGGGAGCTAATAATCACGGGCAAATTGCTTGTCTACAAGCAAACACCTCCATCAGAATGGCAGGCAAATCTCAGAAAGGTTTGATGTAACAACACTGGCCCTTTGCACTTACAAGATCCGTGAGAGTTTGTCAGAATTGGTCGGGGGGAAGGGTTAGTAAGTATTAAATGGCAGCGGCTCCATTTAAGTGGCTCTGCTTTAAACACAACTTTGGATCCTGGAGGGTTTTCTAACATTGTATAAAAGCAATTTTAGCTTTGAATTATTTATTTCCTCCAAAGTGCACGATATATGGAACTGTGAAAGTGAGTAAACAACTGTAATTTAATCGAGTACAGATGGCATCTAAAACCACAAGAATGAGGCTCCAATCGTGGTTTATAGGCATCAGCTCAAATCTGAGATGGGATCAAGATCTTTCCCTCTCTCAGCACCTCTTTCTCTGTCTCTTTGTCTCTGTCTCTCTGTCTTTTTCCCTCTCTATCTCTCTCTCTGTCCTGTCTCTTTGTACCTCTCTCTCTGTCCCTGGCTGTTTCTTTGTCTCTTTTCCTCTCCATCTCTCTCTCTCTCTATCCTGTCTCTTTGTACCTCTCTCCCTGGCTGTTTCTCTTTGTCTGTGTTCCTCCCTCTCTGTCTCTTTCTCTCAGTCTTTCTCTCGCTCTCTGTTTGTCTGTCTGTCTCTCTGCCAGTCCCTCTAAATTTCTCTTTCTCTGTGTCTCTCTCTCTTTCTTCCCTCACTCAGTCCCCCTCTCATTCTGCCCCTCTCTTTCTCTGTATGTCTGTCTCTTTCTCTCTGTCCCTCTCTCAATCCCTCTCTCTCTCTCCCCGCCGCTTTCTCTCTCCTACCCTCTGTCTCAGTACTCTTTCTCTCTCTCTCCCTCTTTTCTCCTTTTATCTCTCTGTCTCTCTCTCTCTTTCTCCGTCTTGTTCTCTCTGCCCACAAGTTAGTGATGCTCCCACATCCTGCCTCCACCACATTTCTAGGCTGTGTGTTCTGGACCCTAACTACTCACTGCGTGAGAGTCATTTTCTCGTCTCACGTTCGCTTCTTTTGCAAATTACTCAAATCTGTCTGGTCTGATCTTAATTTTCTAATGGCTTGGACAGTTTCTCCCGCTCCTCTTTGTCCATATCCCTTATGATTTTGAAAAATTCTATCAAATCTCCTCGTACGTTTCTCCTACCCGGTGTAAACTGTTACAACTTTTCCAGCCTATCCTCAAATGTCCACTCCCTACACTAACAATGCTCAGTAGCAGCAGTGTGTACTATCTACAAGATGCAATGCAGAAATTCACCAAAGATCCTTTCGACAGCATCTTCCTTCCAAATCCACGACCACTTCCATCCAGAAGAACAAGGGCAGCAGATACATGGGAATACCACAACCTTCAAGTTCCCCTCAAAGCCGCTCACCACCTGACTTGGAAGAAAGCTGCTGTTGCTCCAGTGACGTTAGGTCAAAACCCTGGAATTCCCTGCCTAATGGAAATGTGGGCCTACAAACAGCAAGGACTATAGTGGCTCAAGAAGGCAGTTCACCACCACATTCTCGAGAGCAACTAGGGATAGGCAATAAATGCTGGCTGGGCCAGCATTTTCTCATCCCTGGAAGAATTCTCATAAACCTCTTCTGCACTGTCTGAAACGCTTTTCCAAAGTGTACTGCACAGAGCTATACTTGCTACTCCAGCTGAAGTCTAACCGCTGTCAGATACAAGCTGCTAACTCCTGCACTCCATGCCCCATTAATAAAGTCGAGAATATTGTCTGCTTTATTCACTGCTGTCTCTCCATGTGTCTTGCAACTTTAATGAGTTATGTGCCCAGGTCTTTTTGCTCCTGTACACTTCTTAGATTCATAACCTTTCCTTTACACTTGCTGTCCATGTTGTTTCTATCACAATGTATCACTTCACCCTTCTTCGCATTGAACTTCATTTGTCACCTGTCCATCCCTTGCACCAACTTGTTTATGTCCTTTTTAGGTTCTAGCCAGTCCTCCTCACACACTGAAAGAAGAGTGTGTGCAGTCTCCCATAGCTCCAGTAAACATCCTCGTGACCAGCTCTGAATGTTTGATTATTACTTTGCCTGAGAACTTGGTGGTGGTTTTTTTTTTAATTTAACCTATCTTTCTAATCAACCTGTTCAGGGATATTATCACACATGTCTGGAGCAGTTGGGACTTGAACCTAGGTCTCCTGGTCCAGAAGTAGGGACACTTTGACTGCACCACAAGAGGGCCCCTACACTAACCATTTTTTTGTCATTAACCTATTTTTCTAATCAATAAACTTGAAAGGGTTCAGAAAAGATTTAGAAGGGTGTTGGCAGGGTTGGAGGGTTTGAGCTTTAGGGAGAGGCTGAATAGGCTGGGGCTATTTTCCCTGGAGCGTTGGAGGCTGAGAAGTGACCTTATAGAGGTTTACAAAGTCATGAGGGGCATGGATAGGGTGAATAGGCAAAGTCTTTTCCCCAGGGTGGCGGGAGTCCAAAACTAGAGGGCATAGGTTTAAGGTGAGAGGGGAAAGATATAAAAGGGACCTAAGGGACGTCTTTTTCACACAGAGGGTGGTGCGTGTATGGAATGAGCTGCCAGAAGAAGTGGTGGAGGCTGGTACAATTACAACATTTAAAAGGCAGCTGGATGGGTATATGAATAGGATGGATTAAGAGGGATATGGGCCAAAATTAAGTTAGGATATCTGGGCCAGCATGGATAAGTTGGACCAAAGGGCCTGTTTCTGTGCTGGCAACTCTACGAGTTCCATAACATGTTCAGAGATGTTTTACACAGCTCTGGAGCAGGTGGGACTTGAACCTAGGCCTCCCAGCCCTGGGGTAGGGACATTACCACTGCTCCATAAGAGGGCCTGAGTGACTTATATGGCAGTGCAGGACAGGGTCATTAAAGGGAACCTGGATGCATGCAGGAGCCAGCCATGGGAAAGATGAGGAACCTGTTGGTACAGCATTACCTTCCTTTTATTAAACACGAAGGGCTACTGCTCCTTCAGCCTGCCTTCAGTAAAACCTGCCCTTGAAATGACAGTCTTCAAACGGCCAATGTTTTATTTTTCTCTCTCTCTCTGTGGGATTATTCTTTTTGTCATTAATATTTATTGGTGTTTCAGAACATTGAAAAGAACATTATCAGACCGACGGCGTTCAAGCCAGTGCTGACCAAGAACAGGAGCTCGGTACAGTACCTTGTCCCTCGTCCTGCTAATGGGCTGTCAGACAGTGTGGGCAGCCTCAACATCTTGTTCAGTGGCGGCTCGGTGAGCTCGGTGAACTCTGTCGAAAAGCGCAGCTCCTTGCAGGCGTACAACTGCAAGAACAGCGTGCACTCGGGAACGATGTCGGACTCTGGGAGGAACTCCCTGTCCAGCCTCCCGATGTACAGCGTGGGCTGTGGGCCGCACCTCGAGACGGGACACACCAACCTGGAGGCTGGTGGCCAGCAGCATCTGTTCCATGAGAGGGGCTTGGTGGTGGGACTGTCAAACTCTGACAGCGGCCGCTCCTCACCCAGCAAGAGCACGGCGTCTCTGACCAGCCGTGGACCCCCGCTCTCCGACAGCGGGTCCTGCGACCGCTCCCCAGTCTCCGCCCACGAGCTTCTGGTCCGCGAGCTCGAAGAGAAGCTGCGGGAGCGCGACGCCGAGCTCCAGCAGATGCGCCTGAGCCTGGAGGAGAGCGAAGCCGCCCTGTGCCAGGTCTATGAGGAGAAGCGGCGCCGCTGCGAGCAGGAGATGGAAGAGTTGAGGCAGAGCTGTGCCAACAAGCTCAAACAGAACTCACAGAAGGCCCAGCGGGTGCAGCAAGTCCTGCAGTTGGAGCTGTTCCAGCTCCAACAGGAGAAGAAGAAACTCCAGGAGGACTTTGCCCAGTTACTGCAGGAACGCGAAGCCCTGGAGAAAAAGTGTGCGACGATCGAGAAAGAGCAGACGGAGCTTGGGCCAAGACTGGAGGAAACCAAATGGGAGGTAGGTCACCTCTTACAGACACTTTGTAATGGGCTTTGTAACTGGGGAGGCCATGGCCTAGTGGTATTATCACTGGCCTGTTAATCCAGAGACCCAGATAATGTTCTGGGGACCCAGGTTCAAATCCCACCATGGCAGATGGTGGAATCTGAATTCAATAAATATCTGGAATTAAGAGCCTAATGATGACTGTGAATCCATTCTCCATTCTCAGGAAAAACCCATCTGCTTCACTAATGCCCTTCAGGGAAGGAAACTGCCATCCTTACCTGGCCTACATGTGACTCCTGACCCACAGCAATGTGGTTGATTCTGAACTGCCCCCTGGGCAATAAATGCTGTCTAGCCAGCAATGCCCTCATCCTGTTAATGAATAAAGGAAAAGCAGACACCCAGGGTTTATTGTCTAGGAACATGTGTTCAAATCCCACTATGGCAGCTGGAGGAATTTATATTTAATTCCTAAAGTCTAAAATTGCAAGCTAGTCTCAGTTTCCAGGTCACCGTCACTATCATTGATTGTAGTGAAAACCCACCTGGTCTTTCAGGCCATCCTTATCAGGTCTGGCCTACATGTGACTCCAGACCTACAGCAACATGGTTGAGTCTTGACTGCCCTGAGAAACTGCTTAGTAAGTGAGAGAAATCCTTCCCTACTTCTCCAAGTGTATTGGTGTAACTGGAATTCCTGATTCCTGGAGCTGTTCTCCTTAATTTTCATTTTATAATCGTAGAATCCCTACCATGTGGAAACAGGCCCTTCGACCCAACAAGTCCACACCGAACCTCAGTGCATCGTACCTAGACCCATCCCCCTATAAACCCCCTAATCTACACATCCCTGAACAATATGGCCAATTTAGCATGGCCAATCCATCTAACCTGCACATCTTTGGACTGTGGGAGGAAACCGGAGCACCCGGAGGAATCCCACGCAGATACAGGGAGAACATGCAAACTCCACACAGACAGTCGCCCGAGGGTGGAATCAAATCCAGGTCCCTGGCGCTGTGAGGCAGCAGTGCTAACCACTGAGCCACCGTGCTGCCCTGTTAAAATGTCCCATCGGGATGTCCTTCTCATGTGCCTCCCTCATGTCATGCCCTCCCTTTCTTTATAATTATTTCTCTCTCTCTCTTGTTCTTAACCTTTCCTCTTCCTCTCTTACCGCCACTGTTCCACATCCTTTTTATCCCATAATAATAGAGAACTGCAGATGCTGGAGATCTGAAACAAACACAGGCAGGAAATTGCTGGAGAAACTCAGCAGGTCTGGGAGAGAGAAACAGAGTTAACATTTCGAGTCCAATCTGAAATAGGGTTACCAAACACAAAACATTAACTCTGTTTCTCTCTCCACAGATACTGCCAGATCTGCTGAGTTTCTCCAGCAATTTGTGCTATTACACATTCCTTTTATCCCACAATTCTTTGACACTAATCTGACCTTTATTCTATAGATCTCATTCTTTCTGCAGTCTACTGGAAACTCATGTTTGGTATTAACCTTTGCTTCAGTGTTTTGTTCCTCTTCTCCTGGAACCTTAGCTCTTTACTCTCTCTTCCACATTTGAAGAGAAAATAAGATGAGAATGACATGGAGAAAAGTGCAGTGGATTGAAAGGAGACCTTTGCTGAGCGAACATCTTATTTCTGTTTATTGCTTTCCTTCCTTTAGGTTTGCCAAAAGTCCGGAGAGATTTCTCTACTGAAGCAGCAGCTGAAGGACTCACAGGCTGAGCTCTCTCTGAAGAGCAATGAGATTATCTCCTTGAAGGCTCAGCTCCGAGAGATTAGAGCTGAACTCCAAGATCACGAGGATGAGATTCACGAGTTCCGGGACTCTGTCCACACAAAGACTCTGGAGCTGGAAGTCTGCGAGAATGAACTGCAGCGGAAGAAGAACGAGGCCGAACTTTTGAGAGAGAAGGTGGGAAAGCTGGAGGAGGAGACCACGGGCCTGAGAGAAGCTCTGGGCCACACAAGACACATGAGCCAGGAGCAGGAAGACGCTGCCCTAATGTACGAAAGCGACGAAGCCAAGGTGCAGCGACAAAATGCAGACAACCAGCAGGCCCTGAGGCAGCAGGTGGAGAAACTGAGGGCTGAGCTTATGTATGAACGAAAGAGGTGCGAGACCCAGCTGGAGAACTTTGAGGTGGAGCGGCGCACCTGGCAAGGTGAGAAAGAGAAAGTGATTCGGTACCAGAAACAGCTGCAACACAACTACATCCAAATGTACAGGAGGAATCGAGAGCTGGAAAGAGAGATGAGGCAACTCACCTTGGAACTGGAGTCCAGGGAAATAGGTGGGCTTGAAATGCGAAACAAAGACATTCAATTTGAGGAAATCACTGCGACGGAAATCTAACTTAAAAAAAAAGATTTTGTAATGAACAAAAGCACCCATGCCAAATCTAGTGTTGGATAAATATAACACCGACATAATGGACAATCAATATAAGTCTTTAACCTGCTCAAGTTTATTCAGATGTTCACAATAAAAGGACATTTAATGGCTTTGGATAACCTGATACATACTCCCTGCAGGCATGTTTGGACACCTCAATCTATTACTTTTACGGAGGTACCTTGCTGTCTTCCTTTTTCTATTCCATGCTGTCCTGTGTCATGCCGTATGAGCTGAGGGAGGAATAAAATGAAATAAAGCAGTCGGTATTCATGTGTAAAGACTGTTTATATTGTTGACAGCCATTGTTGCTGAAATGGTGGTCCCTGTAGCAGCACCTACCATTGCTGAGCCACTACATTTACAGTTTCCTAATACTGGGGGTGTCGGTGTTGTCTTTGAGTCAATCTGTTTTCCTTTTTTCTGGAACAGTTAGGTGAATCTTCCTCCTTGTCACTCATGCACCAACACAAGAGGGAGTTCAGCAATTTGACTAATGGCTGAACAAGCCTTTCATCAGGAAAGACAAAAGCAATAATGACAAAGATTAACTGAAAAATGCTTTATAGATGTGGAAGTAAATAAAATTAAAACCTAAATATCCTTCTGGACAGGTAAAATGAGTTATAAAATGGCATGAAATGATGAAGGTGATTTCCTTTCTTGTTCAAATAGAAAGGAGCCTGAATTTTCTGCCATATGTATCTTTTAAGATGCCCACCATTAGCCAAGTTGTCTTAGGCTATCTGGTTGTAATTCATTTCAATCATATTTACCTGTCCATTTTATTGACACAGAATGTTCCAAATGCACACAGAACAATGACACAAAGGTTAACTTTGGAAGTGGGACCCCATGGGCTACAAGTGGTTCCCGAAATTGGATGTGGATGTGTCCATGCCAGGTCATTGTGATAAAAGCAAAACACAGCGGATGCTGGAAATGTGAAACAAACACAGGGAACACTGGAAAAACTCAGCAGGTCTGGCAGTGTCTGTGGAGGGAGAGAGAGAAACAGAGTTAATGCCTGGAGTCTTGTTAGTCTTGGTAGGACTCTTGTTCATTATTTCTGAGCCACTGTTTTGGAGAAGGATAGGAGTGAGGTTCATGGTTCCCAGTCTTTGACCATCACCATTATGCCAGGAGAAGCGATGTAGGCCAGGCCAGTCCAGTGGGAATTCCCACCACCTCCCATTCTGTGTGCATGGCCAGAGCAGGTACTGAGTACTGCAGATGCTCACTAAGCATTAGATTGTCCTAACAAATGCTGAGCTGTTTGGAAATGCGCTGACTCTCCTCTTCCAATATATTTTCAGCTGAACTTGCCCTTCCTGGGACCTAGTGGGCTGGAAATGATTCCATCTCTCTCCATCCCTTTTACCTCCCCCTCCAGCAGTTCACACAGCGGATACCCCAAATACACTGTGCTTGTGTGGGCGCCAACCTTTATCATTCTCCTCATCCTGGGAATGACTGTTGAGTCAGTGACTGGCCAGCAATGCTGAGGTCCTGGCTACTTTGGTCAAGTGAAAGTCAGGGGATCAAACTGAATTTTTAAAAACATCAAACTCAGTGCTGAAAGAGAGCCTCATGCTCAACGAAGCCTTCCAGGGCAAAAAATATCCCTCACTGCAATAGCATAACTGTAAAGATCTATTTATCATGAATACCATTTCGCCAACTTTGCAGAAAGTTTAAGAGAAAAGCTAATTGCTCCCTACCTCAAGGACTATGCTTAATAATGTAATATGAATTCCATCTGATAAGAAATTTTAACCAAATGAAAATGGTGATGAAAATATGTGAAAACAGCCAGACATGTATCCCCACAGGATATTGTGGAGCCTCTGCACTGCAAGCAAGGAGGACCCAATAAACCTGTTGCTGCGTCGTGAGAGATAGAGTGATGTTAACTTCCCATAGTAATTCTTTGAGGTTTGAAACCCATTAGTTCAGCACCTGATCACTGTCAGTGTTATTGGTTACTCCAATAGTTAAGACATGGTTACAATGTTGGACCTGCTTCATCTCGACGGCTCAGTTGTAAATGGGGCAGAGAAGGAGGCTGTTCAGCTGTAAATGTGGCTATATCTGTGGTGGGCTCAGAGATAGCTTTTCCTTGCCAGGTTAAGAAATCAGACACTTTCCATTGATTTTATTTTATCAACTGTTCCCTGTGTTTGTTTGAGTTATAAGGAGGCTGGATAGGCTCGGACTTATTTACCTGGAGTGTCGGAGATGGAGGAGTGACCTTATAGAGGGCTAAAATATCATGAGAGGCATAGATTAGGTAGATAGCCAACAGCTTTTCCCCAGGGTAGGGGAGTCTAAAACGAGGGAGCATAGGTTTAAGGTGAGAGGGGAGAGACACAAAAGGGTCCAGACAGGCAATTATTTCACACAGAGGATGGTGGGAATCTGGAACAGGCTGCCAGAGGTAACGGTGGAGGTGAGTACAATTTTGTCCTTTAAGAAACATTTGGACAGGTACAGGGATGGGATTGGTATGGAGGGATATGGACCAAACGTAGGCAAATGGGAGTAGACTAATTGTGAAAACTGGGCGGCATGAACAAGTTGGGCTGAAGGGCCTGTTTGCATGCTGTAAATCTCTGTGGGTCTATGAACTGAGAAAAGCAGCTGCTAGCAGCAGTTAATCTTTTTCTGCAAGATATTGCTGTTTTCAACAGGATTCACTGGCTGTGAGGCAGACCCCATATCTCCCTGTGAAAGATTGTGGGATTCTTTGTTTTCTTTTCACCATCACAATACAGACAAGGTGCCCAGGACTCTACACATGAACTGGATTAAACCTGTCCATGTTCCACATTTACTTTCTTGAATATTTTAATATGTGATCAATGAAGACTGTCCTACGATAGGTTTAGCCCTGGAATACAGCCTTGTTGCCGTTTCTCTACTTGTTTCATGTCCTCGGCCATTGGAATCGGGAAGATGAACTACTCCTCAGTTTCTGGGATTGCCCCATGACTTGTGACAATCAGATTTATCATGTTGCGTCATACGTTTACAGATCATCTAAGGAATATGCTTGACTCTTGTACAATACAGAATTAAGCTTTCCCTTAATTCATTTCCAATAAAGGGCCATTGTGAGTCATTTATGTTTTGGCACTTGCACTATACATGGACAGTCCATATGTCTGAGATATAACTCCTTCCGCGTGCTCTGAAAATAAGCCAATGATTTCTCTCGTTGGGTTATATCCTGCACTGCGACCATTTGATGACTGAAGCTATTGCTGGTGGAAAGTGTCTCTCCTACCCTCTCGGACATAGTGTCTGAGCATTGTCCTTGTTTTCAAATTCTGTTCTGTTCTCCATCACTGTAACCCCTCTGACCATCCCAAATCTGCCTGCGCTCATCCAATCCTGTTCTCAAGCATTCCTAGTTTCCTTCCACTCAGCATTGGCAGCCAGATCTACAGTTGCTTGGACCCAAATTTTTGGAATTCCAAATATAACTAAAAGGTGCTCCTTAAAACCTACCTCTGATCAATCTATCACTCACCTGTCCCTAATATCTCCTGGTGGCTCGCATCGAATTTTATCTGGTCGTATTCCAGTGAAGGTCTTTGGGATATTTACACCATTCAAAGTGCTATATAAATGCAAGGTCTTGTTGCTCTCTGATTAAAACAAAAGAGCAGCAAATATCTATTAGAAGTGAGTCAGCAGGGTCCTCGCAGTGGGACCTTGGCAAAAAGTTTGGGTGATGGAGAGAGTTACATATTTTCAAATTGGTTGTGGTTCCCATGACTTAACATTTGTAATCCCTTCTGCAAGGTGTACCCTGCTGATTTCAGTCTTCACGCACTTCAAATGGAAAATACACGGAGGTTATGGTTGACTGATCCCCACAGGAAGGTCTCATCGTGTAGTGAAGGGATGTTGAGCCAAAATCTCCAGCTTCCAAGTCCCTCCTCCCGGACTTTACGGCCCAGAGGAGTGTGTTGATGGACCTGCAAATCCTTCCGTCACCCAGGAATGGCAGGCGATAAGGGTAGGAGAGATTCCTGGTCAGCGAGAGACAGCATGTTCCTCCCAAACTACAATTCCAGGCTACACCTTGCATGTAAAAGTATGCGTTACTACCAACATTCCCGCTAATTTTCTTACTGGTGACACTATTCCATGATTCTGGCCATAGGATTGGTCTCATTCGAGAGAGAGAGAGAGACAGATGACTGGTGGTGGTTTAACCTGAGGGTCACCATGTTTCAGGCAAGGGGAGAGGTTGAGAAGGAATGTATTTCATGGTAATCTCAACTGGTGTGGGAATTGCTTTGGTGGCTCTCTGCATTGCAAACCAGCTGAGCTAAACTGACCCCTTTTGACACATGATCTGACTGTTCCAGACCAAGCTTACTGCAATCGGTGCTGTACAATCATTGGTCTTTGACATGCAGTATATGAATTCTAATACTGTAGAATAATTACGCAGACATGACTAGAGGTATGGGACTTTTCTGAAGAAAATGTAAGTGCGTATTACATTGTTTTCAAAATTGCAACTGTACAAAGTCTCTCCATGCTCTTGGCACATCCAAATTCCATGACAGAGTTCTGGAATTCTAAATGAGTGAGATTTATGTTCAGTGCAATTTGAACTCCTTTCTCACATTTTCTGAACCTTGGATGAACTTTGTCAAGCAGCTGGGACCCATGTTCGGTCAAGATAAAACAATGTTTGGGATCTTTGTTCCAACATGTCTGAGACAGCATTGGTTCCCACAGCCTGTATCTGTTGGAATGAGCCTATATGGGCAGATAAAGCGTGTTGGAAAGGGTGAAGTGAGTGAAGGGGAACATTTGTTGCAGCTGCTCACATTCCTGCCCCATTCTCGATGCATGGATAACTTCAGGCACTGATGCGGTCTCCCAAAGTGGAGAACAAGAAGAAACTTTGATCTTCCTTTTGGCCGATGGATGTAAAAAAACTAGTCAGCAGCCTGTTTTACATCTCTTCCCCCCAGTCAGTTTGAACATTATTGGAAATAAAAAAATGAGAATGATGTGAAACAAAATGCCAGTGCTCTTACAAAGTTGAGATCCCAGCTAAGATATTTTGTTGCTACCTTGAATTTTGACAACCTTAGAAAGAAATAACTTATTGATCACACACTGATGACCCAGATGCATTTGGAGTATTTACCACAGCGGGTTTGATATCTTCCCTTCTCTCATTGATTTATGTGAGCGGATTCCCCAATGTGTAACTGCTCAGAACACCAGCAGCTCGTTCACG